CTTTCTTTCTTTCTTTCTTTCTTTCTTTCTTTCTTTCTTTCTTTCTTTCTCTTTTGCTCTCTCCTGTCTCTGTCTCTGTCTTGCTTTCTCTATCTCTCTCTATTATTTTTCTATCATCTATTCCATCCATCTACTCACCCATCCATCCATCCATCCATCCATCTACTTATCTACCTATCAATCATCTCATCAAACTGGGTAGAAGTAGTACATTTGAGTGCCACATTCCTCCATCATGTGATATCTGTACTACGATAGCGCACACCAAATAAACAACCCTTTTGACCTTGAAGGAGTTAAAATGACTCACACACTTCTGATTTCCCTTCTCAGGAAACAAGCAAAACAAAAAGTTAGGATTTTTTTTTTTCCCTTTCTCCTTCCAGATGACGGCATTTCAAAGAAGATAAATATTGGCAGCGATCCTTGATTTGATGCACTGATATGGTTCATCAAGGCAGTTGCAGATTAGTCCTGGCACTGTCAGGAAATATCATCTGTTTATTAGTGAGGGCTTATTAGTGAGGAAATTGCAGGCACAAATCAGGTACTCGTGTAAGATTCGGCCACGCGATGTTTTGCCACCCCAGTCTCGACTAGCAGAGCACTCAAGCATATCGGGTTTGCCAGACGCTGCTTGAAAATATTTCATAAAAATGCACAATTTGAGCTGGACGTTCACAGTTACTATTGGGAGAGGGTGTAGCGATCAGCAAAGTTTATAAACATACAGTTAGTCCTCATTTAGCAATCACAATTGAGACTATTGCTAAACAAAGAGATCATTAAGTAGAAAATCAGAGAACCAGTGGTGGATTTACGACCTCACTCTCCATTTAGTCGTTAAGTGAGCCACTGAGTAGAAAATCACAAAACCAATGAAGGATTTACAATCTCATTCCCCAAAAGTAAGCAAGGAATCACCAAAGAAATAAACTCAACATTCTCACTCAAAGTTCTAAAGACCAGGCTCAAATTATCCTACTTCGGACCCAGCTTTCTGGAGAAGGCCTGTGGCTAGAAAAAGTGGAAGAAAAGAGAAGAAGAACCAGAAACAAGGTAGATGCATTCAGTTATATAGATAATGGTGGCAACCATTGGAAGATCTGAAGAAACAAATTGAGCACAGATTGTTATGGGACAAAACCCCCAATCTATGTAAATGCTAAGAGTTGACAACCACTTCATGGCACATAATCAATCAATCAGTCAGTCAGTCAACCAACCAACCAACCAACTGATCCATCAGTGTCCCTTATCACTGTAGGCATGGGACAATTGCAAGATCATCTTCCTATTGCTACTACAGACTCTAAAAAAAAACCAATCTTTAATTATGTACAAACCCCACCCAGGATCTTCACCCTGTTGCCACCTGCCTAGAAACAATGAGATACTCCTTCTTGCTACACACATGGTGACAACAGCCACAAACACAAATTGCCAGCAGATTGTAGCTTTCCTAGAACAAATCACTTTTTCCTGAAAAAAAAAAAGGATGTTTCAGCTCATTCATTTTTCCCACTCTGACCTGATGACTAGAACTCATTATAGCATTTCATTGATCATCCCTGTTGTGTTTGCCCTTACAGAGAACAAGTTTAATAACACTCAATATTACATTTTTATTACACTCGAGTGCCAGGTTCACCGGTGAATATTTTGTTCTCTGTCTTTCTTTGGAGATTACAGCCCCAGAGCCCCCAACCCTGATAATTCTCTCATTACCCAAATGAGGTTGATGGCACACCTTCCTGGTCTAGAGTTCATTCAATCAGACCCCTACAGTTAATCATTTGGATGTCATATTTATTTTCCATGAAAAATGAAGAGTAGTAACTGAAACTGAGCCAATCTTTTCCGGAAAAAAGTGAGTTTGATTCCAAATCTCACCAAATTAATATATATATAGGTAATCCTTGACTTACAACCATTCATTCAGTAAACATTCAGAGTTACTAACTATGGCATTAAAAAAAACCTTACAACCACTTAACTACAGGTAGTCCTTGCCTTACAATCTTTCATTTAGTGAACGTTCGAAGTTACAACAGTTACCTTAATGCTTAAAGTTGCCAAGGTTGGACACCCCTGATTCAAGGAGAAAACAAGGGATTGATGATACAGGTAGGCCTCAACTTACAACTATTTATTTAATGACCATTCAAAGTTATAACGGCACTGAAAAAAGAGACCTGTGACCATTGTTCACACTTATGATTGTAGCATCATCATCATGGGGATTAATTCACAATTAATCAGTGGAACAACTTGCATCCAGAAGTTGTGGCTACTCCATCACTGGAAGTTTTTAAGAAGAGATTGGACAAACATTTGTCTAGAATGGTGTAGTCTCTCCTGTCTGACCAGGGGTTGGGCTAGAAGACCTCCAAATTCCCTTCCAACTCTTATTATTCTGCTTTAGAGAGGATATGGCTTTCCTGCTGAATTTGGTTTCAGATTTAGGAAGGAGTATTGTGATACAGCGTTTGTGTCAAAACTCATTTCTTTCCATCAAAGTGATCTTTCTTCTACCATTCATGAATCAATATTCACAAATTTTCAAGCTTCTCTATTACTACAGAGAGTGGATCCGATTTCTCCTTTTCCTTTCATGGTTTCTTTTATTGTCCAGTCTTTCTTCTGAATCCCAATTGATCTGGAAGATTTTTTTTTTTTTCAAATTAATCTTGGCATTCAAGGCAAATTTTCTTCCCCATCCTCGGTTACTCTTTTGCAATGCAAACATATGAAGGCGCATTCGGTAACATTCATAATTTCAGCAAAATGCCAACCTCCATTCATTCTTTCTGCACAGAAAATTCTCAAATGCTCAGCTCACGCAGATGGCAGAAATGTACACGAAAGAACAATTCAGTACCTTATGCAATCATATCAATATTGCTTTTTTGGCTGCCTTGGTGAATATGCATTTAGATGCTGGTAAAACACTTCGCAAAAGTTGTTTCTAGCATAGATGTTCAATCAAATCAAAATGGATTTTTAGGAATGGGGACATACGAAATTGCCAGATGCAGAATGACCTGCTTAGCTCATCATTATGCATGCAGACTGACAGCTATTATCCACTGTAGGATTTGAGATGTATCTCTGTTCCCCTCATTATGGAAATGCAAGGATTCAGCATGAGATACAGGCAGTCTTCGAACTTACCCCCATAGTTGAGATCCAAATTTCTGTTGCTAAGTGAGACAGTTGTTAAGTGAGTTTTGCCTCATTTTAGGACCTTTCTTGCAGTTGTTAAATTAGACCTGCGGTTGTTAAGTGAATCTGGTTGAATTGGCTTTGGCGTAAGGGTCTCCTGCTTAAGCAGGGGGTTGGACTAGATGACCCTTCCAACTCTGTTATTCTGTTCTGTTTTGCTTGTCAGAAGGACATAAAAGCGGATCACATGACCCCTGGACACTGCAACTGTCATAAATATGAGTCAGTTGCCAAGTATCTTAATTTGGACCACGGAGATGTGGCAATGGTCATAAGTGTGAAAGATGGTCATGTCCCTTTTTTTCAGTGCTGTTGTAACTTTAAACAGTCACTAAATAAAGTGGTGTAAGTCATGGACTATTGTACTTCACATTTGAAATATATGTTAACTACTAATTGGTGAGCAGCAGATGTGCCAAAACACATATTATTTTAAATATAATTTCTTGCCACTTTTGTAAAAACTGCAAGAAATTATGCATATACAACGAGAGATGTAAAAATTGGGTGTTACATACCCTGGGGAAAAAAAAGGAGATTTCTAATGAATTGAATTTGCAAGGAACATTTACTGGATCAAACTTCAAAACTGAAAAAAAAAACTGGGAAGAAGAGAAATGTATAGGAATTCCTGCTTTGGATATCTAAGCAAGTCTCTTTGATTATACTTCAGGACGAACACAGGAAAGAAAGACAACTTTCAAAGAAGGAGTTTAAAAACTACCAGCAATCTGCTAAATTTATGATCGGAGTAGGCTTTACTACTTACCTTTCCTACAAGTTTTGGAAAGGGGGGTCTCTGATTTTCAGGAATTAAGATTGGAGGTGCAACAATGGACCTTCTTTGCCGTATGCTTCCAAGGCCATCTTCTGCTTTAAGGAGCTCCTAAGAAGGAACAGAACAACGAGTTAAATTGACCAACGCTTGCAAGAACACCACAGTTCATTGTCAATCTAATCTTACGAAGCTTCTCCTCCGATAACACTGAATGGCTAACTAGTGCATTCCAGGCATTGACCACTCTGTTGCTGAAGTCATACTTTCTGAAATCAAGTTTGGAGCGGTTTACATTGAGTTTGTATCTGTTGTGTGCTCTTGTATTGTTGCGGTTGAAACTGAAGTAGTCATTGACAGGTAGGACATTGTAGCAGATCGTTTTGTGTACTATGCTTAAGTCCAATCATAGGTGTCATAGTTCAAGGTTGTCCAAGCCCCAAATCTCAACCCTGGTGATGTAGGGCATTCTGTTGCAAGCAGAGGAGTGTAGTACTCTTCTCGTGAAATACTTCTGGACTCGCTCAATTGTATTAATGTCTGATATACAGTGCAGATTCCAGACAGATGAGCTGTATACACTCATCTGTATACGCATACAAATACGCATACAAAACCTTTGCTAGACCAATACTCGAATACAGCTATATAAAAAAAAAACAGAACAGTACAGTTATGAACCTGCTTTATTGTATTCACGTTCAGAATAATTTGTAAAAATATTTACAGAGGAGAATATTTATAGCTCAGGGTTGAAATGAGGGGGTCTTGGTGCTCTCTGAGTTGGTGGTTTTCTTGCAGACATTTCATGACCCAACTAGACAACATCATCAGTGCTAGGAGGAAATGAGGTATGTGGAGAGGAGGAAGAGCAGGAACAGTAGGTAGACTCTGGGGTCCTTGGTGTACACTAAGCTTGGTTGATATTTTTGCAAACATTTCATTAACCAGTGATGATGTTACCTTGTTTGGAAATGAAATGTCTACAGGAAAACAACCAAGCTCAGAGATCACTAAGGATCTATCTATCTATCTATCTATCTATCTATCTATCTATCTATCTATCTATCCCTATCATCTATCTCTATCTTTCTATCTTCCTTTCTTTCTCTCTCTCTCTCTCTCTCTCTCTTTCCCTACCTATTTACCTACCTATCTATTTATCTATCTATCATCTATCTCTACATCATCTCTATCATGTCTATCATCTATCTATCATCTGTCAACTATCATCTCTCTCTCTTTCTCTCTCTCTCTCACACACATCTCTCTCTCTCTCTCTCTCTCTCTCTCTCTTACACACACACACACACACACACACCTCTCTCTCTCTCTCTCTCTATCATCTATTTCTCTATCATCTATATCATATCTATCTATCTATCTATCTATCTATCTATCTATCTATCTATCTATCTACTATCGTTTGTAAAATTCATTAGCCATCCATCTTACGACAAGGTAACTCCAGGTAGCTTAGAATATTAAAACTTGTAAACCTTTTCTGGTTTTTAGACATTAGACTTTTGATCCATATTTGACCACATTCTACAAGCTAATATACTGATTCAATTTGGTGGAAAAAAGATGGGGAGGGGGAGGGAAAATCCTGACTATTATTGAGGGTTTGTCAAGATCAGTCTTAGCCTGTCCAATCTGCTTGTTTATCTCTCCACCTATCTGCTGGGAAAATCTCCCAGGGACCCTAATGTCTTTTACAATTTAAATGAATGGCCAGCCGGCCTACTACTAACAAGCACCATTATTCTTCACAACAAAATCTTCATTATAAGTTGTCAAGGGAATGAGTGAAAGCCCGGACTGCCATCTATCACCATGAGAACAAAACTCATCCTTAGGTGAGATGATCCATATGTATCCCATTATGGCTGACCAAGGGAACAGTGGTTTATTTCTGTTTGATGCCCAGTAATATATGAGTTCAGCTCGGTTTGATAGAGCAGAAATGAAGCAATAACATTTTCCCATGGTCTAAATTAATAAAATTCACTTTCCAATTTGGCAGAATCCCCAATGGCAATTGAAAGGAAATAGCTCTGGTTTTCCTGATGGCACAAAATCTGCCTGAAGCTGGAACTGGTTCAAATATTTGAGGGGTAGTTGACTTTTAGAGGATTTAAAGGGAGTTGAGAGGTAGTGAAAAATATCCCCCCCCCCCCCCCCCCGATGCTTCATTTTATTAAAAAACAAACAAACCAAAAAACAAAAACCCAAATCTCTAAAAAGAGGAGGGGAGAATTACAAGATTAAAAATTCAAAATCCTCTTTTAACGAAGTATTATTGCATTCAACTCATAGAAAGTTTACCACGACTTCTGATCTATCCCACATCATCCCAATATTAAACCTGGTTCATCCTCGAGAGTAGGGAAGAATCAGAGTTTACAAGAACACAGGGAAAGAAATATGAAGTTAGACATAAATCACCACTAAGAGGCAGAAATGGTTATTTTCATTTGCACAAAAAACAAAATAATAATAATAATAATAACAACAACAACAATAATAGCAACAATAATAACAAACCACAATTTCTAGTTTACTTCCTATTCATGAGAATTTACCCCTTCTTTCTTATTAAAAAAATAAGAATGATACAATGATACTTTGGGAGAAGTGTGCAGTCTATAGGTTATGGACCTCTTGTTTAGACAAGGATCAATAAACAGATGGGGAAGATTGGAGGTGGTTCAAGGCATCTTTAGCGATTTGTTATGTCCAATCATGGCAGCTACATTGCCAGATTAATGGGGAAATTGATCTTGTCTGGAATGCAATAAGTTCTTGCCTTCAAAGAGATGCTTGGGATATAATTAATATCTGTCCAGGATAAAAAGAAAAGTCTTCCTTAAATTAAGTGCAGCTCCTAGCCTGAATTTACTCATTGTGCTCTTTCCTTAGCAATAATCTAGACGTAGATTCCTGTTCCAGTGGCGTAGTCCCAGATCTAACCCTGCTTCAGTAGAATTGACCAGGTGCTACTACTTCTTGTCATCTGTCATCTCTTGTCAGAGTCTGAATCTGAGGAGGAAGCCAGACAGCTGACAGGGAGCAGGAGTGTGGCTCTGTTGGCTGTGGAGGAAGCTGGGGAAGGGCAAAGTCCGGCTGGGCAGAGCAGGGAAGAAGTAGAACAAGGGAGAGGGAGTTCAGAGGAAGACCCAGGCCCACCCCCTCTTCATCCTAGGGCACGCAGGGAGGAATGGAGAAGAGAGCAATGTGGGTTGCATGGCTTACAGGGGAGGAAAGGGCTCTGATTTCCTTCTTTAGCCACAGCTGGGAACGAGAGTTTAAAAGAAATGCATGCTGACTGTGGCAGCTGCTAAGGGCAAACATGAGTTTATCTTGTGTTTACTTTGATGATCTGTATTCCTAGTGTCTTCCCAACTGTGTTGAGTTATTGCTATGCCTTCGTGTCTAGAATTCTTGCTCCTGCCCTGCCAAACTAACTACTTCAGTTTGGCTTGTTTGGACTTTAAGTTACAGTTTTTGTTGACCATGTTCTGGATTTAATTCTGCAGTCAAAGGCTGTTCCTGGAAGAGTTTTTCTCCAGCCAGAAGGTAACCTGGACATTGGGAGCAAAGTTAGAGATAATAAAGGGACTCTTATTGATCATCTGACTGTGTTGCCTTTGTGCCATGCCCTGGGTAATCACAGAAACCTAGTATAGATACTCCTGGATTTACAACAGTTCATTTAGTGACCATTTGAAGTTACAACTGCACTGAAAAAGGTGATGTATGTCCATTTTTCAGACTTACGACTGTTGTAGCATCTCCATGGTTATATGATCAGAATTCAGACACTGGGCTAAATATTCATATTTATGGCCATTGCAGTGTCATGTGATTCCTCTTTTTTGCGACCTTCTGACAAGCAAAGACCAGGTTTGCTTCACAACCATGTGACGAACTTAACAACTCAACAGCTACAGCAAGAAAGGTTGCCAACTGGGACAAAAATCGCTTAACCAATGTCTCCCTTGGAAATGTTGGGCTCAATTGTGACCATAGGTTGAGGACTACTTGTATAAACCCAACCAGCAAGCCCCTGCCGTTATCCTGGACTACATGCTGATAGTGAACGCTTTCCAAATTGTTGTTTGTTTTATTCAAATAATCTCGCATTTACGAACATTCCCTTTTTGAAAACTCAGCCAGTACATCAAGCACGAGGTGGTTTTACTTCCGTGCAAGAGAGCAGTTGCTTAAATAAATTAGAGATCAATTATTACCTTTTTTTTTTTTTAAAGGGCTGTTTGCATACATACACCTGCCTAGGAACAACAAGTACTCACTTTCTCAGCTCTGCTTCTTCTGATAACTCTCAGTAGAGAAAGCAGTTTTCATTGGAACAAAGTCAACTGAATATAGTTTATTTATTATTGTGGTTTTTTTTAAAAAAAAAAAGAAGAAAAGAAATATCCAAAACGCAAAGATAATTATAATGCAAATCCATTCAAAAACTACAGGTTAAAAAGTGCTTTAAAGGTGAAAAGAAAAGATCCCAACAGGAAAAAAAGAAAAGATACCCTTGTAGCTATTCTACAGTGACAATATAATTAGTTCTGCTGAAGAATTCCAGCATCCTCCTTCTACAGTTTCCTAAAGGCTGGGGGTCTTAGCCAGGGGTACCCAAACTTCTCGACTCATCATCTAGCAATGCAATTCCTGAAAGTAATTAACTCTAAAACCAAGAATGTTTACCCATTTGGATCAGACGATATGAGTATCATATAGCATTGCAAAATAAATGTGACCTACATTTAAATTCTATTCTATTTGATATATATTTATGTGAGAGTGTCCTTATTACTGGATAACAATCCTCCTCCTCCTCCTTCTCCTCCTCCTCCTCTTACCACTGCTTCTCATCTTCTTTTCTCCTTCACCACTACTACTCCTCCACCACCTCCTCCACTTCCTCCCCCTCTTTTACCACCATTTCTCCTTCTCCTCCTTTCTCTTTCTGCATTCTCTCCTCCTCCTCCTCCTGCTCCTCCTCCTCCTTTTGCCTCCTCCTTCTTTTCTTCCCCTTCCCTGTTCCTCTTCCTCCTCTTCCTCCTCCACTTCCTCCCCTTCCCCTTCCCTCT